GTTCCATCCACGTTGCTACAAAAGGCCAGATTTCATTCTTTGTCATTTCCAAGTAGTATTCTATTGTACATACAAACCACAACCTCTTTATCCATTCATCAGTGGATGGACATTTAGGCTCTTTCCATAATACACTCTAGTTTCATTCACGTTGTTGGAAACGGAAAGATTTGATTCTTGTTTGATCACCAAGTAATATTCCATTGTGTGTAATACTACACACACACGCACACACCCCACCTTCTTTGTCAGTTGATGGACCTTTGGGCTCTTTACATAATTGGGCTGTTGGTGATAGTGCTGCTGTAAACATCGGGGTGCGTGTGCCCCTATGAATCAGCATTTTTGTGTCCTTTGGATAAATACCTAGTATTGGAATTGCTGGGTCATGGGGTAGTTTAATTTTTAGTTTTTTGAGGAACCTCCACACTGTCCTCCAGAGCAGCTGCACCAGTGTGCATTCCCACCAGCAGTGCAATGTTTGTTGGTTTATATCCTGTTTATCTGGCTTTTTTTGTATAAACTTGGTCCATGTCTTGTCTAATTTCTCCATTGTTTTGACTTGTAACAGCTCTTTGATATTATGAAAATTACTCCTGTCTCCACATCCTCGCGAGTACTTTGTTGCAGTGTATCACTTGTCTTTTGACTTGATTTCGTGCCATCTAGGTTTCTAATTCTTATGTGGTGAGATTGATACTGCTCGTTATTGCTTCTAGGTTGTGTGTCATGTTTGCAAAGGCCTTTCCTTAGAAATTATTCTTAGAAGATCTAGAATGTAAGAAAGGATAATGTTTAAAAGCCAAGATCTTAGAAACAGGGTTGATGCAATGGTTGAATGGAAAAAAGTTACACGCCGAAACTGTGTTATGCACTTTGTGTCTTGTAGGTTTTCTCATGGAGTTTTTAAAAGAAGTGGCAGAGTATCATCAGTCCAGAGCGAGCTGTGATGTGGGAACTCAGACAAGTTCCACATTGCCTGGCCAAGACTCACTTGGTAACTGGCTCTCCTTCAGAATTTTAATGTTTGTTTTCTTCTCAAGTGAAGGAAAGGACCTGATGTGCTGTACTATGGGTCTGTTCCTTGACTGGGAGGGGTGCAAGCCGCAGGGGGCACAGGTGCCTGCTTCCTCTGGAAGCCTCGCAGGAGGCGGCCAGGACTGCTCGCCCGCGCCACCCTCCCCTCTCTGAAGGCCCACGTGCTTCTCTGTGTGTTGGGTTCAACCTCTCATAACTGGGAGGTTCTTCTCTAGGTTTCCTCTAACTTGAATTTATGGCCACTAAGGAAATCCTTGACTGCGTGCCTTGTGGAGAAAACTAGAGAAGTCAGTGGCATATCACTTTGGTTTAGAGCTGAGGAAATAGGGGTCCCCAGAGGAAGCACAACTTGGAAATGTTCCTTCTGGGTCAGAATGGATAGTAGAATCCGAATTTTTTTTTCTTTTTTTAATTTTTAAAAACTTATTTTTGAGAGAGAGGGGGAGGGAGCATGAGCAGGAGATAGGCAGAGGAAGGGAGACACAGAATCTGAAGCAGGCCCCAGGCTTGGAGCTATCTGCACAGATCATGACGACGCGGGGATCAAACTCCTAAACCGGGAGATCATGACCTGAGCCGAAGTTGGACGTTTAACCAACTGAGCCACCCAGGCACCCCTAGAGTCCAAATCTTTCTAAAATTACATGATTAATCAGTTTCTTGGCACCTCCTGAGTCTTAAGGAGAATAATGCTTCTAACCAGTAAAAAGAGAAGTCTGTCATTAGTAAAACATAAGCTATATGATGAGGCCTTCATTTTGGCCTAGGTTTTATTCCATTGGGAGCATGGTACATGCTTATTCTAGAGAAGTACTGTCCAATAATAGCCACATGTGTAACTGTTAATTTTCTAGTAGCCATGGGGGGGGAACAGGTGAATTTATTTTAATATAATTTATTTAACCCAGTATGTCCAAAGGATTCCAACATGTAATTGATCCAGAAAACGTTAATGAGATTATTCTATATAAAATTTCCATACTCCATCCTTGAAACCTGGTGTGTCCTTTACACTTAAAACACCTCTCAATTTGAACTTGTCCCACTTCATGTACTCCGTGGCCACGTGTGGCTAGAGAGTCCTGTATTGGACGACACAATTGTAAAGCATTTGGAAAACCCAGAAAAGTAAATGTAAAACCTGTTGAAAGTTCTCTAAAAAGACGGACGCTGCCAATCTCTTCAAACTACTTGTGTCAGCCACCTTGTCCGGTGCATCCTTTTTGGCGGGTGGTGTTCTCCACGATCGAGCTCATCCTGCAAGTCTGGGTTTGCGGTCGGTTGACACTGGCCCGCAGCTGTTGTGGGGGCTGTGGGTCTACTGGAGAGAGCACTAGAACGACAGCCCAGCAACAGACGAGGTTGCAGCCCCAGTGCTGCCCTTACATAGTTGCTTAGCCCTATGGGACTCACTTAAACTGCACAGGCATCTGCTTCCTTCTCTGCAAAGCAGAGGAGTCAAAATACGTGATCTTTGATTTATTTTAAGGTCCGTGTTTTGAACGTGTCAGTCGACTTTAACCACAGTCCAATAAAAGCACTCTCTGCCTTGGCACTTAGGGACTGGGAAGAGATGCCAGTGTTTTCTGACTTAAGTTGCACTCTTGGCTTTCTTTCCCCCTGACATTGGATGGTGAGAATTTCCGATGTAAGGAATGGTGGAAACGGTTGTACAGTGAACACTTGTATACCTAGACTTACCCGGTAAATTTGTATCCTCCTTGCCTGATCGCTTATCCGACCCATCCATTAATCCATCTTAATTTTGTGGGGTTTCAAAGTAAATTGCAGACATCCTTCCCGTTGCCCCTAAGTATACTCTGTGCTTTTGAACAGAGCTCCAGCCTCTTGCTCAACTGACGACAGTTCCCTATGCTAATTTCCTATGTTGTTGTTTTAACAGTGGAGAAGCTTCAGCTTATTGATGATCAGTTTGCAGATGCTTACCCTCAGCGTCCAAAGTTAGAATCCTTAGAAGTAAAGTTAAATGAATATAAAAGAGAAATAGAACAGCAGCTTCGGGCAGAAATGTGTCAAAAGGTGAGCTGTATCTTGTTGCTGTGCTTGTCTTGAATGTCTTTAAAAAAAAAAAAAAAGTTTAAGAGCAAATGTAAGCAGGGGAGGGGCTGAGAGAAGGTGAGAGAGAATCCTTAGCAGGCTCCACGCTGTCAGCATAGAACCTGACTCAGGGCTCGAGCTCAAGAACCATGAGATCATGAACTGAGCCGAAATCAAGAAGTCAGACGTGTCACCAACTGAGCCACCCAGGTGTCCTGTGATGTCTTCATCTTGGGTATGGGGGGGAAAAATAGAGAATTTTTATTAACAAATGTGATACACTGTTACGCATGATTTTTCTTTCCAACTGATGTCATTTCTTATGCCTTTTGAGTGAATCCTACACGTATAATGAATGAGATGAAAGTAAAAATGAGTTAAACTAAGTATATTAGAGCATTAGTGTTAAACCTAACCCTGAAGAGAGAAGTTATTTTCTTAGTATAGTTTTGGTATTTACAATAATTGGTGATCGATTGGCAGTTAAAGTATTTTAAAGATACTGAAGTAGCAAAAGTTAAGATGGAAGAGAAAAGAAAGTCTGAGAGGGAATTGGCTGAGTTCCGGAACGAATTGGAGAGAGCTTGTCGAGCAAAATCTGACGCCCTTATTTCTCGGGAGAAGTTGGCTTTTGAGAGAATTCAGAAGCACCAAGAGGTAAGATTTTACAATTCTTTGCCAGGTGTCTATTTCCTGTGGCTGTTCGTAGATGGGCTTCAGGCCCTAGAGTGGGTTGTGACAGTTGGTTAGCCAAGATCAAGCCCTACAGGTGTATGAGGGATGGAGGTCAGAGCACAAGTGGTAGGACTGGCCTTGAAAAGGTTATGGAGACTTCCTCCCCGGAGAGTGCTGGGAGGAAGGGACCGCGGGTGCTAGCTTCCATGTTGGGAGCAGGCAAAACTCCCCGCTGAATACACTCCCTCCTCTCGGGCAGATGGGAGGGTCGGGGGGCAGCCTCGAGGAGAGGATCGGTGTGGAATGGCTGTGTGGGGGTGGGGGCCGAACAGCCCTCCGAAGCGGGCCGGACTGGCAGAGCTGTGTGGAGGCCCTGGCCGTGACACGGGCATCCCGCAGCCGAAGTGGATCGAACCAGGCGCTTGTAGGCAGTTGGTGTGGTACAGTCAGGTTAGCGAGGGCGGGAAGATCGAGGCGCTTGGGCAGTGGACCTGACGGAGCTGAGTTTACTTGGCTTGAGAAGGGCAGCCTCTTGAGGACATTGGGGTTCGGCGGGGTGGTGAAAGGGGCCGGAGGGGATGGTGGGCGGCTACTACCCCAGGGGGTTGGTGGGGGGAAACAGGGCTGTGTGGTGTTCTCGGAGGCCTCCAGGACAAGATGTCGGGACACTGATGGATGGAAGAGTAAGCGTGGGCCCGTAGGACAGGGCTGCGGGTTGAGATGTCGCGTGAAGACTAGAAACAAAATGTAGTATGCTGCCCTTGGGTCACAGGGGTTGAGGGTCCCTGGAATTGCAGAGTCTAGGATTGTGAAAGGTGGCCATTCGATTTCTCCTGGAAAGTGACTGGACAGGAAGTGGAAAGGGCGAGGAGTGGCAGGAGGGATGGGGTCCACTCTTTGAGGAAAAACTGGTTCCTTTCCCAAGGGGCTGTCTTAGACGAGCCTGGATTCGGGACACCGTTTGCTGTGTCCAGCCAGAACCGCTGCTATGTGGAGACCTCGAAAGTTGGAGGGCTCCCTCCCAGCGCCCACCCTTGATTACAACTGCTCAGGAAGACCCAGTCATGTCCTATGATTTCGTGTACCGTTTCTGGTGATGGGGCTCTTAGAAAAAAAATCAATGTTGGAGCCACTGTCTTTGAGACGATTGGATGTTTACATTAACAACTGCATCCTCAAGACGGGTGACTGGCTAGTTCAGATCAGTTACCAGACCAGAATATTCATTGAGTTTGCTGATTCTCTTAAGGCTCTGGACAAGATGGCCATCCTCATGCCAAGCATCCTGGCTTTATTCCACTACCTGCAATGCCCTTCTTGTGCCCCCGATGAAACCCTCTTGGCCTTCAAATCCAGCTTCTGTGTCCCTTCCTTGTAATGCCTTCCCTGACTGACTCACTCAGGGTCCTGTTCCTGCCACAGTCCTGAAGTATTTTAGTTATAAAAGTCATCACATCCTAGTGTGTAATTTCGCTTTCCCTGACTACACTGAATTTTGGAAAGATGGGAACTCTACCTGTTCGTCTTTCTCTAGTTCTGAGTGTGCTGTTAGACACATGCCAGGTACTCCGTGAAGCCTTGCTCAGCGAACACACAAATGGAAGTGTGGCCCATTCATTCACCTTGTTAACCGAGTCAGAATGACCTATGAACTGAAACTTTGAGACGACAGAACCAGGGGCATTCTATTCTTTGGAAGTTTTATTGCTACATGCACATTTCGTGTCCTTTTCTTGCTGACGCACTTGTCGAAATGTTAAGTGTCTGGGGGATGTCCGTTAGGTAGATTAAACAGAGCAGAGATGTTAGGAATATATGCTAATGGGGCCAAACAGTCATTGAAGGAGGGAATGCATGTTTGGGTGGCTAAATGGGCAAAAAGAGTATGCTGAATTGGAACCTCTTGAAAGTGAAATTGTAACCCTAAGTATCTGTAGTTCTCTGGAATCGAGGAAGCACTATATTAGTTCGGATCTGTTCTATCTTCTTTAGCTTGCTTGCTGAAAACTAATGCTTCTGTACACAGATTGAAACCAAGGAGATTTATGCTCAGAGACAACTTCTCCTCAAAGATATAGACATGCTAAGAGGCAGAGAAGCAGAGCTGAAACAAAGAATGGAAGCTTTTGAATTGTGAGTAACGTGTGTTCGTTTGGGATATTCAGAATGACGATTCAAAAGAACTAAATACACGTCTTAATAGTCTGATGTTAACTGCCAAATAGAGTGTTCACTTGTAAAGGGGATCCCACCTAGCTTTAAAAGGCACAAATGAAGAGAAAGACTAGGGTTTCACTTATGAACTAGTACACATTAGAATGAAAAGCAGAGTGAGATGCCATCATCGGGCTACAGTATGACCAGACACGTGACTTGAAGAAGCTGATAATGCTTGAACAAATGCCATGTTTCTCATTTACATCCAGTCATTCACATCCAGTAGCTGCATGTGTGCAAAGTAACAATTCCAGATACCCGGACCTGCCGCCCTCTCCTGCACTGCTGCTGTTGGGGGAGGGGGAAGACGGTGGCTCTGAGTCAACTCCTACTGGGCGAAGAAACTACTGGTGGTTGTTTTTTTTTTTTTCTTAGTACCAATTGCGGAGGGGCAGAGAGAGAGGGAGACAGAATCTGAAGCAGGCTCCAGGCTCTTGGCTGTCAGCACAGAGCCTGACCAGGGGCTTGAACTTCTGAACCGCACGGTTAGGACCTGAGCCAAAGTCGGACGCTTAGCCACACGCTGAGCCACCCAGGCACCCCTGGGTGAAACCATTTCTCTTGGTGTGTGTGTTCCTTTCCCTAAGTGCTCACATCTGTATCCTCCTTCATATCTCAGCTGGGATTAAGAGCAAGCTCCCCAGTCTGTAGTTGGTGGAATTAAGCTTTCTTTCCCATTTGGTGTCTTGAAACTCGAAATATTCCAGGAACCCTATTTTATTTAAGAGGTTTGTCTTTATCTTTATTAATGTTTTTCATTTACGTAAGTTCTGTTCATTTGATTTCTTCCTACCTTACTCTCTTTGGAAATTCTCAAGTGGCAGTTTGCTAATGTGAGAGAAAAGAAAAGGGACAAAGTTTGGGCAGATTCTGGATTGTATAATCATGATTATGTAACCACTTCTTGAACCTCTGTTTGCCCTGCTTCTCCCTTGTAAGCACATTAACTGAAGTGAATGGATTTACTCGTCCTTTGCTGTACAGATGGGGCAGCAGAGGGAGCCCTAACAGCAAGCCTTTATGCTTGGCCGGGAGCCCTCCCATCCCTGTGGTTTGGTCTAACTGCCTGTGAACCTGATTCCTGGCTCTGGAATTGGTTTTGTAGGTGTTTGAAGGTCTCCCCACGAAAAGCACTCCATTCTTCGAATTTGGAGGTTCTGATGGGCCTACCTTCTGTTTTCGGCATCTTCAGTCAATAGATAAGGGATGCCCAAAACGAATCTTCCACCTCTAATTTTTAGGGACCAGTTAACTCTCACAGTTAGAAATAACAGTCTAGAAGAAACAAACACTTAAGGTACACTAAAGTTGGCTTTGTGGCTTTGTAACTAAAAGCATCCTTCTTTCACCCCTCAGTTGATTGTGACCCTTTGTCCCCTGTACCCCCCTTTTTGAGTGTGGGTTCTCTCCTGTAAGTGTAGAAAAGTAAGAAACCACTTTGGTCACCACGCATTGACACTCCCCTTAGCCAGGTGCCGCCATAGAAGGCCATCTGCTAGCTAATGAACTAAGTCAGTTCGTAAAGTAGATGGACTTCTGGCTCTTTCAGTTCACTTCCCAGCAGGGAGGCCTTGTGAAGGTTTTACTCTGGAGCTAAAAACACAAGGTGTCTCTTTCCCTCTAAATGTGTTACTTCCGATGTTGGGGTTTTCTTACCTGCTTTCTTTCTCTTTGGCTAATTGCAGGGCTCAGCGGCTACAAGAAGAAAAAAATAAAAGAGCAAGCGATGCACTTAGGAAACGGGAGCTGAATGTCCAGAGTATTGAGGAGACCTATGACCAGAAGCTCAAGAATGAGCTGCTCAAGTAATTGCTTGGCCTTGTTAAATCCTGTGTCTGAATTAAGTTGCTGGAAACATGGCCACACTGATGAAGTAGATAGAGCCGATGGTTGATGGCAAAATTGAGGGTTGAAAAACATCTATGTTGTCATTGGTAGTCCAGCCTTTCCTGTGAGCATTTAAGATGGGTTTAAAAAGATAGAGAATAGCATGCTCTGCTCATTTGACAAAAAAAAAAAAAAAAAAAAAAAA